TGAATTGCATTGGGAAAGTTAGCTGTGAGGGACCTCTCAAGAGTACTGAAGAGCAACGACATCAGGCTGGAGACTAAGGTGTGCCTGATCCAGGCTATTGTCTTCACAATTATGTGCTATGCATCAGAGAGCTTGACAGTGAATAGGGATGTTAGAAAGAGAATTGATGCCTTTGAGCTGTGGTGCTGGAGAAGAGTGTTGAATATACCATGGACTGCTAGAAGAACAAACAGGTTTGTCCTGGAGAGGGTGAAGCCAGAAGGCTCTTTGGGGTTAAGGATTCTGAAGCTTCATCTCACATACTTTGGGCATGTTGCTAGGGACTGGTCCTTGGAGAGGGACATCATGTTTGGCAGAGTGAGGGGTGGCAAATGAGAGGAAGACCTTCAATGAGATGGATCAGTTCTGTGACTGGAGCGGTGGGAATAAGTGCATTTGAGATGCCTAGGTTGGCACAGGATAGAAGAGCGTTTAGAGCTCTTGGACATAGGGTTGCTATGAATTGCAAGCGACTCGATGGCACATAACAACAAACTGGTGCCGAGAGTGTTGACTGTGGAGTCAAGCAAACTAAAGCTGTGAACAGTCTCAATCTCTTCATCCATCCTGATGCTGCCAGTTGGTCCAGTGGTGAGAGCTTTTGTCTTCTTGACATTGAGCCTCAATACTTCTTATACTTTAGCACTTTAAAAAAAGTCCTTTGTAGAATGTTTTTCCAGTGCAATGTTGTTTGATTTTTTTATCTGCTGCTTCCAAGGGTGTTACTTGTGGGTCCAAGAAACATCAAATCATTGAAAAGTTTGATCTTCTTTCCATTTATTCTGACACTGTGTGACTGTATATTGGTCTGGTTGTGAAGACTTGTTTTGTGTTGATATTTACACATACTGAAGGCTACTATCTTTGATATTTTGTTATTGTTATATGCCATTGAGTTATTTGCAACTCATAGTGACCCTGTGTACAAAAGCCCTATACCTTGCTCTAACCTGTGCCAATCTTACTGTCTCTGACACACCTACCCCCCATTAACCCAGTCACTGAACCAATCCATCTCGTTGAGGGTCTTCCTCTCTTGTACTGTCACTCCACCAATCCCAAGCACAATGTTCCTCTACAAGGACTGGTCCATCCTTGCAACATGTCAAAAGTATGTCAGACAAAGATTCAGAATCCTTGTCTCCAAGGAACAGCCTGGTTTCACCCTTTCTAGAACAAACCTAATTGTTCTCCTAGCCATCCATGGTATATTCAGTCCTCTTCTCCAGCACCACAGCTCAAAGGTATCAATTCTTCTCTCATCCCTGGTCATTGTCCAGCTTTCTAACTCATAGCAAGTAATTAATTGCAAAGACCATGGCCTGAATCAGGTGTACCTTAATCTCCAGACTGACATCGTTGCTCTTCAGTACTTTGGAGAGGTCTCTGACAACAGACTTTCCCAATGCAATTCATCTTTTAATTTCATGGCTGCTGGTACCAAGAGTGTTGATTGTGGAGCCAAGCAAACTGAAGCTGTTAACAATCTCTATCATGATGCTGCCAATCAATCCAGTGGTGAGGATCTTTGTTTTCTTGATATTGATATTAAATTTATATTTGATATATTGTTGTCTTCTATGTTCTTTTAAAATGGTGTTTGTAATGCATAAGTTATTGAGCATATGAAATTTTACACACATACATATATATACATCAGATTCTCTTTAAGATTTTAGTCTTTGAGCTTCATTCATCACATGGAAAGAACTTGAAGAAAATACTGGAGTAATCAATGTGATCGCCAGCCTCATTTCTTTCACCCAAACACTATTTTAATGGTCAACCTGTCTTCATTTCTTACTTTTACATTCCAAGTATTAGTTATTATAATACATTTTTATTACATGTTCTGTGAATTTAAGACTGCAGAAATTGATAGAAATTCTGAATTTCTTCACATTTGGCTTCAGTGGTTAGACTATGAATCTGAATCATGATAGCACATCTTGCATGTGTGCACAGACACTGGCCTGTCATTGATAGTTTTGCATTTAAAGGTGCTGGCTTTGGTATGAGGTTCTATCGAATCAACTGGAACTCATAGAGACACTATGAAAAACGTTACCATATTCTGCACCATCCTCAAGATCTCCACCATGGCAAGTCTATTGTTACAGTCACTATGTCAATGATTCTCATTGGATGTCTTCTTTTTTGCTAACATTCTGTGATTTCTAGCATGATATATTTTCCCAAGCACTAGCCTTTCTGACAACATTCCCATAGCATGTGAGCCAGAGTTTTACCATTCTAAATTTTAGCCAAAGTTTTACCATCATGTTTTTGTAGGGGTTTTTTGGTTTTTGTTTTTTGTTTGTTTGTTTGCTTTTACCAAACTGTGTCGAACATTGAGAAGAATGGGAATTACAGAACACATAATTATGTTCATAGGGATTCTATACCCATGCCAAGGAGCTGTTGTCTCAAGAGAGTAAGGTAACAGTGTGTGGTTTAAAATCAGGAAATGTGTGAATCTGGGTTTTATCCTTTCTCCTTTCCGATTCAAACTATATATTGAACAAATCATTCAAGAAGCTGGATGCTATAAAGAATAATATGGGATCAGAAGACTACTCATTAACAACTTGAATTATGCAGATAACATAACCTTACTTGCTGAAAATAAGGAGGGCTTGGAACACTTGCTGTAGAAGATAAAACACTGCAGCCCTCGGTATGGATTGCATTTAAATGTCAAAAAGACAAAAATCCTCACCACGGGGGGCAATAAGCAACACGATGATAAATGGAGAAAAGGTTGAATTGGTCATTATTTCATTTTATTTGGATCCACATTCAACATCTTTGGTACCAGAAGTCAGTACGTAGATCAGGAGACATTGCAGTGGGCAAGTCTGCTGTCAGGCACCTCTCTAAATTACTGAAGAGCAATAATTTCAGTTTGAAAGTTAAAGTATACCCAATCAAGGTAATTTTCTTATCAATTACTTGCTCTGTAAACTGGACATTGAATAAAGATGACAGAATTGATGCCTTGAGCTGTAATACTGGAGAAAAGTAATAACAAGAGAGAAGATAGTTCTTGGGAAATGTGAAGACAGAGCACTCCTTGAAGGAAAAGATGGGGTATCTTTGTCTCACCTACTTTGGATACATTCTTAGGAGAGACTGTTCCTTGGAGAGGGACATCATGGTTGGAAAGGTGAAGGGCTAGCAAAAGATAGGAAGACCCTAGACAAGATCTATTTGGGCTTAAGTATGTCAGAGATGATGAGGATGGCATAATATATGATAGGGTTCTGATCTGCTGTTCATAGGGTCACTATGACTCATACTCGACTTGATAAATCACCTAACAAGAACACTACCACCAAAGATGAATGAAAGTGTCTATTTCTTTAGCCACATGCCAAAACTCACAAAAATAAACGCTTTGGCATGTTTTTGTTATGTGTTGTTGAGTCACCAGAGACTCATAGAGACCCTATGTAAAACAGTTCTGAAGCCTGCCCTGTCCTAAGCAGGTCTCACTGACTCTGACACATCTACTCCCATTACCCCAGTCACTGTATCAGTCCATCTCATCTGGAGTCTTCCTCTCCTGCACTGTCCCTCCACCCTTTCCTAGCCACATACCCTCTCCAAGACACACTTATTTTTCTTGGTGGTCCAAGAAAATAAATGACAATATTCAAGACTCTTCTCCAACACCACAACTCAATGGCTTCAATTTTTTTTCCTGTAATTCTTAGTCATTGTCTAGCTCTATGGTATGTAGCAAGTAATTGTGAAAACTATGGCCTGGATCAGGTGCACCTTAGACTCTAGACTGACATCATTGCTTCTCAGTACACTAGAGAGGTCCATGACAGCAGATTTTCCCAGTGCAATTCATCTTTTTATTTCCTCACTGCTTTTGCCAAAAATGTTGATTGTGGAGCCAAGCAAGCTGTAATTGTTAACTTCAACCTCTTCTCCATCTATCACGGTACTGCCAATTGGCCCAGTGGGGAGAATCTTTGTCTTCTTGATGTTGAGCTTCAACCCATAATGCAGACTCAAGTTCTTGACCCTCTGCAGCATGCGCTTCAGATCCTCCTCAGTTTCAGCAAGCAAGGTTGTATCATCTGCATAATGTAGGTTGTTGATGAGTCTTCATCCGTTCCTGATGCCACATTCCTCCTCATAAAGCCCAGCTTCCCAAATGATCTGTTCTGCAAAAAGATTAAAAAGGTATGGAGACAGAACTCATCTCTGATGCTTGCACGTCTTTCCTGATTTTGAACCATGCAGTGTTTACCTGCTCTGTTCTGAGGACTGCTTTCTGGTCTGAGTATAGGTTTCTCTTGAGCACAATCAAGTGTTTTGAGATTCCCATTTTCCTCAAGGTTAGTAACATTTGTAATCCACACAGTCAAATGCTTTTGAACAGTCAATGAAACACAGACATTCCTCTGGTACTCTGCTTTCTGCCAAGAAACATCTGATATTGGAGATAATGTCTCTAGTGTCTTGACATTTCTAAACCCTGCTTGTATTTCTGGTAGTTCTCTGCAGCTATAGTGTTCCAGTCGTTTTTGGATAATCTTCAGCAGGATTTTGCTTACGTGTGGTAGTCGTGATATCATTCAATAATTTCCATACACTGTTGGGTCACCTTTTTTTTTTTTAAACGGGAGTAGATACGGAAAGGAGAACTTTATTAGAAATGTTATCCTAATTTACATTTCCCCTTTTACATTTATATTTCTCTTTTATTCATTTTTTTACCTTTTCTAAAAAAATGATTATGATTATTGCTTTATAAGACAATTCATATGTATATTGATTGATCATACAAATCCTTTGACATACTTTTTATAATTTATTTTTTAGTTATGTGCAAAACAAGAAACTGGTTTTCCTTCTGTTTTGTACCAAAGATATATAACATTATCATTAATGTAATTTTGGTGTTTTTTGATCATTAATATACATTTCCATATTTCCTTTTTTAGGCAGATACTTGCGGCAGCAAAAAGAGCTGACCAGGTGGGCCATTTTCTTTGGGTTGGATCAGACAGCTGGGGATCCAAAATAAACCCATTGCATCAGCATGAAGATATTGCAGAAGGTGCCATCACTATTCAACCCAAAAGAGCAACTGTTGAAGGTATGAGTTTTATCAACAATATCATGTGACACATCAGTTGTTGGGTGCAATTCTGGTGACCAAAACATGTATCTCTCTGAGGATTTTCTGACTTTATATTTCATACAGAGTAATTGTAAAGATTTAGCTGTGAAATTGTAATGAGGCCACATACCTACTCTGTACAGGGCCTGTTCTTTCAGCTGATATTCTTCCTTCTGTTGCAATGATCTTATTATTTTCATAAGAATATCACAATTAGCATGTATTCTTTTCTCTCCATTTATGTCTTAGGTGTTATCTGAGAACAGGATATTGCAATCAATAAGAAGTGAAGTAATATCACAAGCCAATTATGCATAAGTGTGCTATCTTTCCAAGAAGATGCTTCCCCTTTGTAATTCATCACTACCTCTCTTCCAGGTGTGTTTCTCCCCTCTCCCTCTACAGATGTCTCCCAGTGCAATTCGCTTCGCTGTTATCACACAACACTCCAAACCTTATACACCAGTAGCACCTTCACTTTCTAAATCTCTTTTCTTTCCCATGCCTTCCTAGATACCTTTCCCTTTGTTTCTATTCTTTACTTTTTTTTTCTTTTTCATGCTTTTAATAATCACTGTCTTTACAGAAACAAAGATTTTTTTTAAAGGTAGAAGAGGAGTTTTTTGGCACCCATCTTATCTAACAAAACTTGTTGATTATGACTTATGTTTCAATTTGAATTTGAAAAGTTACTTCTCTGTAAAGAAAAGGAGCCCTTCTGCTGATAGTCTGCTTTCTATTCCTTTTCTGATGGGCTAGGTCTCTAAAGAGTCCCGAAAGCATGTTTTGCACATTAAAAAGAAATATATTCTCTCACTCAAATAGAGATCAAATATTTGCATTTCTTTCTTTTCTGTCTCCTCTCCAATGTAATTAGTTATTCCTCCCAAAAGGCTACCTGATCTGTGTTGCCTTTTAAACAAATGAGGTTGTAGTTCTGTCACCATTTTTTCTGTATTATCTGTGGAAGATAAAGACCCCGTGAATTACCCGTGTGTTTATTGGGAAGCTTTAAATTAATCTCATTTTCCAGTAAATGTCAGATGGATCTTGGCAGAATGCAGAGAGTACCAGAAGAATGTCTATCTGTTTCATTGACAGTGCAAAGACATTTGACTGTGTGGATTATAACAAATTGTGGCTAACCTTGAGGAAAATGGGAATCCCAGAATACTTGATTATGCTTATATGAAATCTATCCTTGGACCAAGAAGCAATCCTCAAAACAGAGCAGGGAAACACTACGTGGTTCAAAATCAGGAAAGGAGTGTATCATGGATGCATCCCGTCTCCATACATTTTCAGTCTATATTCAGAATAGACCATCTGAGTGGCTGAGCTTTATGAGGAAGAATGTGGCATCAGGATTTGGGAAAGACTCATCAACAACCTATGTTATGCAGATGACAAAATCTTACTTGCTGAAATGAAAGAGGACATGAAATGCTTGCTGTAGAAGGTCAAAAAGACTGTAGTCTTCAATATGGATTGGAGCTCAACATCAAGAAGACAAAGATTTTCCCCACTGGGCCAAGTGGCAACACCACAATAGATGGAGAAGAGATTGAGGTTGTTAACAATTACAGCTTGCTCAGCTCCACAATCAACATTCTTGGCACCAGCAATCAGGAAATCAAAAGACAAATTGCATTGGGAAAATCTACTCTCAGGACCTCTCCAGAGTACTGAAAAACAATTATTTCAGTGTAGAGACTAAGATGTGCCTAATCCAGTCCATGGTCTTTGCACTTAACTTGGTATGTATCAGAGAGCTGGACAATAACTAAGGATGACAGAAGAAGAATCAATGCCTCCAAACTGTAGTGTTGGAGAAGAGTTTTGAACATACCATTGACTGCCAAGAAAACAAATAAGTCTGTCTTGGAGAGAGTAAAACCGAGTTTCTCCCTGGAGGCTAGGATTTTGAAGCTCCTTCTCACATACTTTGGGCATGTCATCAGAAGAGACCGATGCTTGAAGAAGGACATCATGCTCGAAAAGGTGGAGGGACAGTGCAGGAGAGGAAGACTCTGGATGAGATGTATTGATACAGTAACTGGGGCAGTAGGGGTTGGTGTGTCAAAATTAGTGAGACTGGCTCAGGACAGAGCCGGGTTCAGAGCTGCATAAGGTCATACCTGTACATAGGGTCACTTTGGGTTGCAGGTGACTCGAGAGCACATAACAACAGCAGCAACAATACATGTACAAATAATATAGCTTGTATTGCAACACAGACAAATACATGTTTCTGATAGGTCACAAGAAGAGTAAACAATGCTTTAAAGTTTAGACACTCAGTTAAAAAAATTGTAGATGTCTACTCTGTGCTAGAATTTTGAGCAGGGGTATTAGGATAAAATATTTAAAGGATATTGAGCTCAGTGAAGATACTAAGAAATATCCCAAAATATATCATGTTTGGAAAGATGAAGTATGAGAGAAGACGATGGCTTCAATTTGAAGGATCTAGAGTGGACTCAACTAGAAAGGATTGAGCACAGAGATTCAAGATCATACAAGATTTTGACCTGTTTTACGTAGAGTTGCCATGAGTCAGAGTCTTCTTGACAGTAGCTAACGACCAGTGAAATAAAAGACACATTCTAAATGGAGTGTGAAAATGCTCTATGAGTACCAAGGAAAAGGCATTAAGTTTCTTTTGGGTGATGGTTTGTGCTAGGTGAAGACTCCTTAGAGGACACGCATGTGCCCTGAGGATTCTGAGCTCATCAGACAGGAGCACAGAGGGTCCTGTGGACACAGCAGAACAGTTGAGTAGGCATTGCAAAGACTCATTTCACAGCACAGTCCTATGGTTCAGCCAAACTAAAATGATTTCTCGTTCTGTAATGTTTTCTTATTAAAGGACTCCCCAGGAAGGCTTATCGCTTTCCTGTAGCAGCAGTTACTGCTATACTTGCTTCCTAACTTCCTTTGGATCCCTGGGGTCTCACTGAAGTCTTGGGGGGGGGCGGCGGGTGATTATTGTTGTCATTTAAAGTTGCCTCCAAATTGATCCAGACTCGTTCGTAGTGAGTTGACGTGCCAAGTAGAATTGCCCTGTAGAATGTGCAAGGCTGTGATTTTCAGAAACAGGTGACCAGGCCTGTCTTCTAAGGCATGTAAAAATGGTTTTGAACCACCAATTTTTCGGCTAGTAACTAGTGCTTTATCTTTTTTTTTTAATAATTTTAATGAGCATTTACAGAGATTTTGGATTTCCATTCATTCATTGCTGCACTTCTCTCTGCGCCCAGCCCTGCCCCACACCCCATTCACTCCTCTCTTTCAAAAGTAAAAGAAACACTCCTTCCCTGGTACACAATCCCCCCACACCCCTCCCACCGCCCCAAGTATATTCCACTATGCAGCCTTAATTGTGGACTCTTGTGATAACCATAATACCCTATCATACATCGCTTTTAAATTATTCACTCCCTCATCTGTTTCAGTGCAGTATACACAATTTATCTAGTTTTTCTCAGTCTTACCCCAACCCTGATATCAATCCCATTTTACAACAGTGGCACCATGCAATATTTGTCCTTTTGCTGCGACTGAGATATTTCACTCATCATAATGTCCTCCAGGCTTACCCATTTTGAATAATACTGCATGAGTTCCTTGTTTTTCAATGCAGCGTAGTATTCCATTGTGTGAATATACCACAGCTTCTCTATCCATTCGTTTGTTGATGGGCACCTGGGTTGTTTCCAACTCCTTGCTATTGTGAACAGAGCTGTGATAAACATGGGAGTGCATATATCTGCTTGGATGTCAGTTATGGTCTCTTTGGGATATATTCCCAGTAGTGGAATTGCTGGGTCAAATGGTATCTCTATTTGCAACTTTTTGAGAAAGCGTCATACAGCCTTCCACAGTGGTTGCACCATTTTACACTCCCACCAACAGTGAATGAGGGTTCCAGTTTCTCCACAACCTCGCCAGCATTTGTTGTTTGCTGTTCTGTTAAATTTTGCTATTCTAACTGGGGTGACATGATATCTCATAGTTGTTTTGGTGCTTAATCTTTTTAACTACATTTATGCTTATAAAGTGATTCCTCGTTGATTACAATATTTGAGGATTTTGGTTTGTCATTTGCGTATTTAGTCCCTGTACAATGGTGATACCTATTCATTGTATGGAAAGAATCAAAAGCCAATCTATTTGTAGACTTTTCTTTTATTCAAAGTTGGACTGCAAAGGACCTTAAAAACCACATGGAAGAGTGTAAACTTGATTCTGAACCACTGGGGAGAATCTGTTAGTTTAAGTAGGATGTGATTAGAGAGTGTTAGAAAGATGAAAAAGGTAATGATATTGAAGGATAAATTACAAGTTGTTATTAGGTGCCATTGAGTTGAGTGTGTCTCATACCTGTGAGCAACAGGTCTCTCCTATCCTGCATCATCCTCATTAACTCTGACATATTTGAGCCCATAACTTGAGAGTGACCATGTCAGTTAATCTGGTTGCAGCTCTTCCCATCTTTTGTTGACCTTGAACTTTTCCAAGCATGATGTCCCTTTCCAAGGACTAGCTCCTCCTAAGGACATGCGCTCGATCGCTTGCTCTCTCTATAGATAGATAGATAGATAGAGAGAGAGAGAAAGAAAGATATGAGACAAAGGCTCATCGTTCTTGCTTCCAAGGAACACTTTGCGCTTTCTCCAAGACATATCTGTACCTCCAGATGCTGCAAAACTAAGCTATACACTGTGAAATAAGCTACAAAAAAACAGCACCCTGATCTACCAGAAGTGTTGTTAATAATGTTGTTGTTGAGTATCATCGTCAGGTCTGTCCCGTAGCTGACACACTGGCAGGTTTTCAGAGGCAATTACACAGGAGGAGATTCCCTACCCTACTCCCATGTAATAACATTATTATTTGAATGTGAAAGAGCAACAGTTCATATAAAATTCTTCATTCCTATTCAGATAAGAGTGGAGGGTATGTCTTGACTATTT